GTCTTCAAATCCATCCATCCGTTTTCATCTGTTTCAGTTCAGGTGTGGGGGGAGCGAGCTAGTGTTGATCTCCAGCAGTCGTTGGGTGAGATCGTCCATTCGAGACAATCATTCATATTCGCACTCACACCTCGTAACAAGTTAGAGCTACCATTTAACCCTGTGGTGCCCACTCCCGGTCCTCAAAAGCCACCATCATGCACGTTTCAACTGTTTTCCTGATCTTCAGCAGGTCTTTTTCTGGAGAAGCCTGTTAATCACACATTCATTCAAGTCAGGTGTGTCAAAGCAGAGAAAAACACCTGATTCTCAGAAAGTACTCATTCAATGGACATTTCTACAACTAAAAACTGTACAAAGTGGCACGGTGGCGCAGTTGGTAGAGCTGCTACCTCTCAGCGAGCAGGTCGCCAGATCAAACCCAGTTGAGGGGCCTTTCGGGGTGGAATTAGCATGTTCTCTCCGTGCATTCATGGGTTTACTTCGGGTACTTCAATTTCCTCCCAACGACAAAAAACATGCATGTTAGGCTGATTAGTAACTCTTAATTGTCCATAGCTGTGAGTGAGAGAGTGACTGTTTGCCTATGTGTGTCCCTGTGATGGACTGGAGACATGTCCCCTGCCTCTCACACAGTGACTGCTGGATATGGGCACCAGTGACCCCTATGACCCAAAAATAAATAAGCAGGTAAATATAATGGATGGATGGATGGAAAACTGTACAGCCTATAAATTTATGACCCCCCACCCCCACCCCGGACGCGCACACTATAGCTAATTGACTTTAGCAGCACAAAATTGGCTAAAATGTGGTCAGTTTAACATATTTTAGGCTAAGGTTTGGTATGGTAGTAGCTGAGAGTCATCCCCATCACTTATAAAGGTCAGCCTACACGAGCAAGATGCTAACATGCTCTAAACTTTAGTAAGTGTATTAAATGTTAGGGTTTGATTTTGTTTTCTGTTATTTTGTGTTTTTTTGTGTCAGACACAGTGTTCTGAGTTAAGTTTTGATCAATGTGTGTTGTGCTGTGTTAGTTTGGGGATTTGTGTATTTGACCTTGTCAGAGTTTCTCAAGTCTTTTTTTATATTTCCAAGTCTGGCGCGATCCCACAAAGCTCAGGAATATTCATTATGGTGCAGTGCAGGAAAAATATTTGGGGGATTCAAGCATGTCATTTTTATTTAAACCACTAACCCAAAACACTGAAACTTTCAACCAAAACTTATAATCCATCTGACCCGTGTCGTCCAGCACCACTGACCCAGCAGCATCTCATCCCCATCCTTACACCCTTCTGTCAAAAACAACAATATTTACTCATCTGTGTCAAAGAGCTGCAGGGTTGTATGTTACAGAGATGCCTTTGGTTTTTTTCTTCAGTTTTTTTCTTGTTTCTATTTGTTGCAGAGCCAAAAATGAACTTTTACTTATGTGGTTGAAAATTCAAAGAAAATACAATAGGTTCCAGAAAGAATCATCTTTATTCAGAACAATGATATGCGGTTTTATAAAACTTCAAATGCAGTGAGCAGCAATGAGGGCATGCAAAGCAATGCATGATTTATAACACTCAGCATATTCTAAAACCCAAACGTGCAGGTCGAGAAGGTGAAAGAAAATTCCTTTTAGAAATGTCAGGGTTGAAGAGAAGAAAGCAAAGAGCCCATGGACTCACCTCAACATGTTTCATTGTGTCAATAAACATCTCAGAAAAAATGTTCCCAGTCTGACAAAACCAGTTGTTCAAAAACAAACATTTTCTTTTGGGAGTTCCTCGTAAAAAAAAAAAAAAAAAAGCCTGAACTGTTTCAGGATTTTACTGGAGGCAGATCCTAACTTTAATGTCCCTTAAAAAATAATAAGTTTGTCATCTTTGGTTACATCACTTTCAGACTGTCTCTACTGAGCTCCACTGAAGCTGAAAATGCTAAATTGTGAGAAAACACATTTCTTTAAATAAAACATGTAACGTTTTGTTGCCATGTAGTCACAAAGTGTCTTAATTATGTCCCAATTTCATCACAGTTCTCTTTTTTTGGTCTCTAATCAGCTACAATTTAGTTTTATAGGTTACCAAACCCTCCCAGGCTTTCTTCCATTTCCCACACAACTCTGATTACTTTGAAAGTAAATTTATTGCACTTTTTAAAATATTTAAAAAAAATCCAGTGACTCTCGTGGAAATTGAGAATCCTGAAACATTTTGGGACATGTCACAACTCCAGATGCTTGCTTTTTGCCTCCAACAGATACAGACTTCACTCTTAGCTTTGGTTGTAAATATTTCTGACAAGGTGACAAAGTCTGGCTGAACTTTTCTTGCAATAAAACACAAATAAAACGCATAAAATGTTGAACTAAACGATGTAAACGCAGAGGCTGTTGCACATAAAGTTTAGAATTATTTTTATTGTCATAGGCAGATTGTCATTTGAAGCTGATAGTATTTAAATATATATTTTTATCTCATAATTTCTTAACAAGAAACACTGTTCTTTCACAAAGTATTCATACAAAGTGCTGTCTTTGTTAAATGTTCTCATATTTCCTCAGTTTTCAGACTAAGTCACTTATCTTTGGTGTCGACTGTAGCTGTCAGGGTGCATCCTTATGGATTTTTTAAATGCACGTAGACGTGCACGCTCACATTTTTGTCTCTGCTGTTGGAGAGCATCAGAGTCTACTGCGGAGGAGGCGGGCTCTTCCGGCAGAGTTGACTTGCTGGTGCAAGCACCTGCCGATTGCGTTTTTGTTTTCCGGTTAGAAGTGTGTAGAAGAATGGGTTAACGCAGGAGTTTCCATAGGTGAGCCCAGTGAGGATACGATTCACCGTCACCTGTGTCCCAACCGGTACTGTTCGGAGCATGTCGGGCTGGTAGAGGGGCAGCAGCTGCCAGATCCAGAAAGGGAGGAAGCAGGCCCAAAAGGCCAGGACAATACCCAGGATGAGGAGCAGGACTTTAGGTTTGGGCGCTCGAGGAGGACATGAACTGTTGTTCCCAGCGGCCCAGGCTGGCCGGGTCTGTGACACCCAATAGAGCCGTCCCAGAGTGGCATACAGCGCCCCAATGGCCAGCCCGGGGCCAAGGATGCTGGTGCAGAAGAGCACGCTCAGATAGACCTTGGAGCTCTGCTCATCCCACGCCGGGACGCACAGCTGGCCCTCGTGGTTCTCCCCGTCCTCCAGGTGCAGGGTGATCATCATGGGCAGGCTGAGAGCCACTGCCAGCCCCCACGCCAGGCCCACCCGCAGCAGGTTGGAGGAGCTGGAGGAGGAGGTGCGCAGGGGGTGGGCTACGGCACGGTAACGATCGAGGCTCATGGCTGTGAGAGTAAAGATGGAGGCGTGCATGGTGAGGAGGTCCAGGCTAAGGAGGAGGCGGCAGCCCAGCTCCCCGAAGGCCCATCCAGACGCCAAACTGTCGTACACGATGAACGGGGCGGTGAACAGGTAGAGCAGGTCGGCCAGAGCCAGGCTCAGCACCTGCAGGTGAAGAGAGGAGGAGGAGGGAGAGGAGGTGGGGGAGGAGGGAGGGGAGGTGGACGGGGCGAGGCAGGATGGTACGGGGATCCTCGTTAGGCAGCAGGCCGCTCCACGCCGTCTCCTCCCTCTGCTGCGCCTCAGGAGGAGAACCAGAGTGTACAGGTTTCCTGTGATGCCCAGCAGGGAGAGGAGCGAGAGGAGGGAGCAGAAGAGAGCTGTGGATGCCAAGCTTGGAGAAGCGGAGGAAGGGGCAGAGGAGCTGGAGTTACCAGGGAGCGTGTAGGGAGACAATGGAGGCAAAGAACCAGGGAGGTCCATGATGTTAGAAAGAGTCAGAAGCAGCGAATCGTTAAACGTCAGACTGTTTCAATGTGAAACTGAAGATGCAGAGAGATGAGAGGTGGGGTCAAAAGGTTGAAGCAAACAGAGAGGAGGACATGGCGTGTTACTCGCCTCTTTCCAGACACTATTCATTTCTCACACACGAAGAACAAATATCTACTAATCCTTTCTGTCCCTCTGACGGGGACCGCGGTGTAATTTATATTTAAAATGTGGACGCACACAAAGAAAATAAAGTCATGTAAACACGTTTTAATGAAAATGTCTGCAAACCCAGGATGGTTTATGTTTCAGACGAAACCTGCTCCGGTTGGCACGGCCATCCCAGTTTTATAGTTTCACAGGGAGCCTGGTGAGGGGGAGTGTGTTTGCGTGTGTGTAAGGAGAACTGGGAGGGGGTGGTGGTCTTCAAGACTGTAAATCCAGCCTGAAACATCTTTCTGGAGGTCAACATTTGGGCCACAATTAGTTGAAACAGAGCCGACCTATATCTTATTAAGAAAAAGGCATAAATGGTTTGTTTGGATTTCTTCTGCGTGCCGCCGTATGTTTTTGCACTCTGGTGGTTTGGATCAGGACCGGTAACTGTAAATTTGCCGAGTCAGAACACAGCAGGACTCCAGTTCGCTGCTGCGTTCTTGGGAAGAAAAGAAAAAAAACACATTTGAAAACAGAGGATTGTCTGGAGATTTGATCCTGAAGTGACAGAACCGACTTCAGTGCCGCAGTTAAACGCTGCAGAAACTGCTTTAAAAGAACTCCCTTAAAATGACACTGGAAAATTAAATTATATATATTTTTAATCTTCATGCGTTAAATTAATTTGCAGACATTTTACATTACCTTGCACTTTAAAAAAAAATCAAGTTATCTTTTCACTCTCGGTCATGATCTGCTGTGGGGAAATCATTATGACGTCGCTTTGTTTAACATACTGCACTGATGTCAATAAATATATTTTTTTCTAATACCAAAAGCTTTTACAAAACGTGCAAAAATTAATTTTTTTTACAAGGAAAAATTGCAGAATCCTTTAGATCTACACAGATGAGATTAAATAAAAGAACAAATAAGTAATTGCAAAGGCCCATGAGCCCTAATAATTAAAAAAAATTATTAACTTAACTTTGTCTCGTGCATATAATATATAAATATAATACTATTTAAAAATACTTACTGCAGATCTGAGTGATTCCTGACACTAAAACATACATTTCCATGAAGTTGTTGAGTGAGAATGATCAGCTTCCATGTTGGAATCCTCCTCTCATCATGTTTAATCTGGAGATCTTTTCTTCTGCAGTAAAAACTAAAGTTTTTATTATTTGTCTTTATCTAAAGTGGGAATCTGGTCTCCGCTGCCTTGTTGAGCCTTCAGCGCTGCTCTGTCCTCTCAGATGTGAGAGTCGGTCTGAGTGGGAGTGTGTTAGGATCAAAAGGGGGTGGGATGGGAAACAGAACCGAGGGGCTCATCCTGCTGCCTCAATATTAATAATGGGTTATTCTGACTTGAACCAGGCTTCAGGAAACAGATTTCATTAATATTTCTTTTAAAGCAGTTATACAGAATGTACGTGTTGAGTCATGGATTTTATTCTTCACCACTTATGAGAGTTATGTGCACATTGTTTGAAATGTGCTTATTTTGGCAGCTGTTATCTTATATATTCCTTATAAATACAGTTCGTCTGTTTTAAATTATGACTAAGGCAGCAGCAGGCCAGACCAAAGAATGGCTGAGTTTACATCACAAGTTTACAAGTTTATATTAATTTCCTTTAAATGCTCTAACTTTATGGCGACTTTAGGAGGGTTAAATTTGATCATGGTCTGATGTTTAAATATAAACCTTGATATTTGTGCTTGGGATAAATATGTTTGCGTTAAGGAAGCTTCAATGATAATGGGACCAAGCCACTAAAAGAAAAACAAATGTAAAGCCCTTGATGGTGTTCTAGCATATTATTTTGGCAAATGGTCACTATAAGCCTCAGAAATCTGCTGCATTACTCATTCAACCTTTATTAGTCAGGTTAGTCCCATTGAGCAATGAGGACTCATTTACAAGAGAGACCTGAATTTTAACAAGATTAATGACAACAGTGGACAACAACGACAACAATAAACAATCACAAATAATGCATGCAAATTTAAGTTTTGTTTTTCTTTACAATTGAAAACAAAATGATAATGATAATTAAAAGGATAATTAAAAAGAAATGTAGCAACAAAAAAAACTGCTAGATTACAAGGCGGTGTAGAAAACTAAAAACAGGAACATGCATTGGTTCTTGCCAGGAACTAACAGATGTTTAAAGCCATTTAGAGAGGTCAAGGTCGAGAACTTCAGATCTTTTTGCAAGATATTCCATTACATTTTCTTTAAGCATCATGGATGACTTCTGATAAAAAGAAGAAGGGAAGATGCTTAATCAGCAACATACTGCACTGTAAAAAAATGACTTGTTGAGTTAAATTGTTAAATGTTTATTTTTAAATTGTTAAATTGCTATTTTTCCTACAAAGCCTTAAATAAAAAAACAAAACTGACAAACCAGCCATTTATACCTGTTTTGATCGTCTAAGAAAAACAATTATACTCAAAACAGCATTGCACAGTATATTTCGTGTACACACCTTCAGCAAACCAAAACTGACCTAAAAGTTAGCGCTACGTGATTATTTGAACGTTAAATGAACATTTGTGGTGAAGTTGAAGGGAAAATTCTGCCATTTTGAAGTGGAGTTTGTGGAAAAGTTGTGAACAATCAGTATGTCACCTGTTGTAGATATGTTTCTGAAGAGCTGTTAGGCTATGTGTGTGTGTGGGGGGGGTATTTTAGTGATCTTTTCTTACTTGTTTTATTTACTCATTTACTTACTTTTAAATGAAATGGATGACTTCTTATAACAAGAAGAAAAGAAGCTGCTTAATATGAAACTCATTTTTGATTTATTACCCACTGCACTCTGGTTTACCTTGAATTTTTTTAAATATTTTTTCATTAATCTGATGAGGTTAGGTGTCAGGGTGGGATGTTCATGTAATGTCAGCTGTTGGCATAAAAAAAATGTAAGGAACTCATTAAAACAATTGCTTAAAGTAAAAAGCACAGCTTTATTTTAAAGATCTCAATGATTCATTACTAGACCTCTGACGTTTTAAACTTTGATTTAAATTCAATTAGATTAAACCCAGAGAAACTTTTAAATGCATTTATGAATACAAAGTATTTTAGAGCGGGGTTTTGCAGATCTGTCCGTGACAGAAGGGAAGTCAGTCAAATTCGAAGCTGCTTGTTGTCTCTCTTATATGAACAGGTTTTCTTGACACTGGGAAAATGCCACTGCACAACATTCGACACGACTCTTCCGGTAAGACTGAGGTCTCAAATAGAGTTTCGCCTCACTGTGTGAAGGACAGAGAGCGCAGAGACAGAATATCGCTGCTATTTGCTGTCATTTTATGACGCACGGCAATAACCAGCGCACTTCAGCTCTGACCCAATGTCAATACCACAACAGCTCGTGTTCAAACATGAGCCACCCCACAGCCCCGCGAGGGATTTTTATACGGTGATCTGGGGTTTGAACTTTAGAGGAAATTAATTATCCAGCACACTGGCCTGTGTCAACATTTTTCCATGTTGGAGCAATGTAGAGCTGGTAGACACTCTGACAGCATCCCTGGATAAACGGGCCTTTCAGCGGTTATCAAAAGCAGCTCGCAGTTGCCCGCTATCCACTGAGTTGTTTTTGGCTCTGCAGTTGTCAAACCCACAGCTGAGGTTTTATTTTTTGCCAGCTTCAAGAGGCCGAACGACTTGGGAATGATTTAGTTGTGACTCCAGTGGGTTGGTGGTGGGGGGAGTCCACGTTGGCTGCTCCATACATGCGCTGGTGTGTGTTAAGATGGACAGAGGTAGGCAGTTAAAGAGGGATGGGGGCGAGAGGAGGTGGACATACCTATCCCTACGGGGTGTGAGGAACAAATACTTGGCGCAGGCATGATAAAATGGGGGTGGGGGGTATGAGCAGGCCAAGTTACCTACAAGGAGATGATATAGAAGCTTATTGGATGAAATAAGGGAGTGATGAAGTGATGTCAGGAGCTCTCAAATGTACATAAAGAGACTAAATCTGTGAAATGAGGTTGTTGAATTTCTTTTTCAACACATAAAATACGAGGGGGTTGGGCCGGGCGAGAGGGAAGAAGAGGCTGGTATGGGTTGGAGCTCTGTGCTGTTTATTTGTATTTGTCAGAGCACATCAATCTCCGTCAGCGGGGACATTTAGTATAACTTCTAATTAAATTTATCTGAGCTATGGGCTTTGTTCTGGTGCTTTAACCTGGACTGCGTGTGTTTCTCCTCATTAATTAGTCTGCATCAATCTTTCATGCAAATAGGGAGGGTCTTAAAATGAGAAATAGGAGAACGACTCCTGTGCAGGTTTGCTCTTCTGTGCTGTTGTTGAAAATCAGATTTAACGGAGGACTTAATCCACTAAAGCCATGATTTTTATACAGTTTAGTTTGTTTGCACAAACCTTGATCTCCATGAGTTTGTAATGTTTCTTACATTTTACCTGAAAATAATTGATATTCTGGTAAAAGTCATTCAAAATAAGCTGTTTTAAAGTGAAGAGCAGTTTAAATTATGACCCGTTTAATTTTACAGCTAATTAATTCAAGTTGTTTCATGATTTAAAAAAAAAAGTGTTTTTCAAGAACAGCGAACCAAATAAAATATAATTTTGTTTTTTGTTTGTTTTAGCCTTGCTGTAAAATACACTTCTGCCAACAACCAACATGAATGTATTTATTCAACTAACAAATGGATGGAGTGTTAATAAATGTTTAAGAATGCCTCTGGAGGTTTTGATGGGAAACAAATTATAAAATCGCCAGAACTGACACAGACCATAATGAAGTTGATTATTTATGGCTTGTAATAACATATTTTATGCTGCATGGGAAAAAAACTCAAAACCGATGTCAAACATCAAATGCAGTTTCCTGAAGATGATTATATTTTATTTTTTGCACTAAACTGACACATTCCATTAAAGTAATTACTCGTTACACAGAAATGTTGTCTACAATGACATACTCTGAAGGTTTAGGCTCCTGAGGTATTTATCTGTTGCACTGGGGTTGTAAAAAGAAACAAAATGTAGCAAGAGAGCGCACTTACATAGTCCTGAAAAAACAAAACAAAAAAACGCTTCCTGCATCTCCAAGGAAGGGGGTTGTAACGCGTCCAATCAGAAGACAGTCACAGTCTGACAAATACTCTTCACGTAAACTCCTAACAGCTCCCTAACCTCCTCCTGGCTGTCCTTGCTTTCCTCGTTCATTTCATTAATTAGTCTAACCGTTTCAGAGCAGACTGGCTGACAGATTGCCTGCCTGTTGACTGTCCTCACAGAAGACTTGATTAAATGGGCGGACATTTTTTGCATGTGACAAACGGCTGTTGGATCAGGCTGATTCACAACTTGTGATGAGTTATTGATTCTCCCTCTGCCCACTGACGACCCCCACCGTGCCCTGTGCATTTACAGTCACACATGAAATTTCAGCTGCTCTCTCCACACCAAAGCAAGAGTTTGTCCTGCAATGAGCGCGTCCTCAGCATGTCCACACCTATTAGCTTTCACTTTGTAGTAATTACCACTTTATTTAGCCTGCTCAGCACATCTAAAGCAGCGACAGCCTAAATATTTAGAAGTATTTCACCTTCAGTACAGTGAATGCTGAACGATTGATGCAATTTGATGAAGGAGCTGAAACTGAGTGCGGGAAGTTAAAACAAGCAGAACAAAAGCTGAAATTAGAAAAAAAAAAACTAATAGTAACATTTAATTTAGTAGCTAAAAGCTAAAATTTTCCAAACTGTAGCTAAAAGCTTAAATAGGCAAAACCATTATGAAAAACAGTGGTTTCGCGTTTTGTGGACTTGGAGAAGGCTTTCAACCGTGTTCATCGGGGTATATTGGGGGTGCTCCACGATTAGGGGATTAGAGGCCTGTTTGCTTCAGACTGTCCGGTCCCTATACAGGAGGTACAAGAGTTTGGTTCGCATTGCCTGAAGTAAGTCAGACCCCTTCAGGGTGGGCGTTGGACTCCACCAGGGCAGCCCATTGTCACCGGTTCTGTTCATAACAGGTGTGGGTCCTTACATCTGTACCAAACAAGTCTCCAGGCCAAAAAAGAGCCCAAAG